TGGCCCTTCAGTGCCAGCCCCGCGTCATTACCAGCTCACCCCGCAGCACTTGGTGTATTGTGACACTCCCCCTTTCTTCAAACCCTGCACCCCCGGTTTCCATCAACCCTCTGCAAAGCCTTCCTGGGCTGGGTAGGAGGCTCTTTGCATACTTACAACTCCCTGGGCTTCCTCCGGCCTGGACCGGATCAGGGTGTTGAAGTCCTGACAACCCGAGCTTCTCTCCACCCCACTCCCCTGCCAGTAGAACCTGTCCCCTCCAAGGACAGGGCCTGAGTTTGCTCCTACAGCCAGTGCATGGCCAGGGCCTGGCCCAGAGGAAGATCTTTGGGAATGTCGGTCAATTGAGTGTGAGAGAAAAGCCCCCTTTCTGCCTTTGCTCCCAGCTGCAGACGAGGCCGCCTGAGGGGTAAGAGCCTGGGCTCTCGGGCTGAAGACAAAATCCCAGTCCCCATCCAGGTTGCAGGACCCAACTTACAGCCCCAGGACTTCAACCTTACCTGTACTGCCTGCCTCCCGCTGGCCTCTGGCCTTTCCTTTCCCTGAGCATGCCACGCTTGTCCCAGCCTCTCCCCCGGAGGTGGCTGATCCCTCTCCGTCCTCTCTGTTAAACATGTAGCAGGGAACCGGGAAGTGCAGATCGCAGGTGGAAAGGTCGGAAGGCCTTGCCCAATCACCTGACCTAGAGAGGTCACTTGGTCACTAGCTGCCACCCTGGCTGTAATGCTTAGTGGCACCTCCTTACTGTCCGACATGCCCTCGCTGACACATCTGGTCAATAGCATGTCACTTCAAGAGCGTGGGGATCTGTCTGCTGTCCGGCCTGTCGGCCTCATGTTAGGACAATGTCGGGCTCTGCGGGGCTCCAAGGTGCATGCTGAATATTCCCTGCTAGCGCAGGGAAGCAGGGTGGAGCTGGAGGAACCCCTACGAACCCCGGATGTCTGGGCCCCTGCTCAGTCCTCTGCTCACTGCCTGCCTGAGTCAGTGCTGCGGGCCCCCGGGATGGCGCTGCTCAGTCCCCTGCTTCAGCCCTGCGGTAGTCTGAGGAGGTTCTCAGGCTGGGGCTTTCCCGGCTGTCTTCCCCTCCTCCCTGGGAAAGCTTCCGCAGCACGGGCCCTCCTTGGACCCTCACTAGGGCTTGGGCAGGAAGAGGTGCTGGCACAGGAACAGCTCAAATGGCCTAGCTGGGCAGGGGCCTGGCCCCTCTGGCCTCATTGCACAAATGGGACAGATGTCAGGAGGGTTCGAGTTTACACAGCCACTTGGCTTTGAGGTCCTAGAACCTACTCCTCCTGCTGGCAGCGCAATTCTCCTATTTAAAAACCAGAGGAAGGGGAACCAGCAGTTAGCGTAATGGCTATGTCGCTGGACTCCCACGTAGTTGACCGCGGTTCACGTGCCGGACCCGGTGGCTTAAAACTCATGCCAGGCTCGTGTGTGTGCGTGTCCATGATCCCGAGAAGAGAATGGAGAATGGATTGCGGCGTGACCATCCCCCCTGGGGGGTGATTTCTTGCTTTCTGTCTCTGTCTGTCTGTCTGGCGAGTGCATGCGCCCTATAGTGAAAACCTCCCCCCAAAAAAAAAAAAGAAAGAAAGAAAGAAAAAAAAACCCAGAGGAGGGCCAGCAGGTGGCATGGTAGTTAAGGCCACATGGCCAAATGTGGTTCAAGTCCTGGATCTGGTGGCTTCGTTTCTCACTTTCCCCCTCTCTATCTCTCACTCTCTCTATCCCTTTCTGGTAATAAATAAATAAAGTTAAAAAAAATAATTCTTAAAAAACAAACAAGCAGACGATTAGCAAGCTCACATTGCCCTGGGTCCTGGGGACGCCCCTGCCCTGGCAGGTCTTGGTGGAGCTGGCCAGACTCAGGGAAGGGAGGAGGGAGTGTGTCTCTCCACCCCCTGACTCACACGCAGGGAGGTGGCAGTTGTGGGGTCAAACAGTGCCACCCCGTTGGCCTGGGGCACTGACTCAGGCAGGCAGTGACAAGGGTTCTCCTGCCACCATGACTCACCCACACCCGCCAGTCTGCCTCTCCAGGGAGAAACTCCCAGGAGGTTTCAAGACACACGTTAAGGAGCTGAAGGCGGGAGGCTGGGCCCTGGAGAGAAGGATGAGGACAAGGAGTAGCACTCAGCACGTGCCAGGACACTGCCTTGCTGGGAGAACAGCAGCCACCACTGGCAGAGGGCAGAGCAGGCAGCCCAGGCTCTGCTCCGAGAGCGCTTTCCTTTTCTGCCCTGCCCCAGCCTGGCCCTGCTGCCGGCAGGCGTGGGTTTCCACCCAAGGGTGCACACGGGCCCAGGTTGGCGTGGCGTTGGAGGATGGACAGGAATGACCACGGTGATGAAACGGATACTTGCCCTGGACCGAGCTGTTTACTCCAGGCCAGTCACCGCTCAGCATTTTCCACCCACTAGCGACTTAATTTTCACAAGTGGCTGCAATTATTATCCTCATTTCAGAGGGAGGAGCCGAGGTGCCAGCGGAGGTGGGGTGGTTTGCTGGGCTCCACCAAGCGAGTGAGCGAGCAGCAGGGGTGGAACTGGGGCCCTGGCGCCTCTTTTTCATCTTGTTTTTTTTTTTTTAGTTTTTACTTATAGGGCATGTGCTGTCGCCAGAGAGAGAGAGAGAGAGAGAGGAAGAGAGAGTGAGGAACCACCGCCGGTGGGATGGCCACACCGCAAGCCCTTCTCCATTTACTCTCAGGAGTTTGGGCATGCACACATACTTGCCCGGCATGATTTTCAAGCCACCAGGTCTGAGAATCAAACTGCACAGGTGGCCATGTGGGACCCAGCACCTCAGCCTTCACACCATCTGCTGGCCAAGGGCCTGTGCTTTCAAGAGAACAGAGTCCAGGCCATGCCCTGCCCACCAGCCTCCAAGCATGCTTCCCTGGGCAGTGAAGGGGCCTTGCTTTTCTCCTTCCTGGCTAACTTCTCCTTTTCTTTTTAATTTTTCTTTCTTTCTTTCATGAGAGTGAATCAGTGAGAGACAGAGAAAGACAAGCACCATCAAGTCTCACAACACAATTCCCCTTTCCAAGCCAGGATCAAGGAGGTACCTCCCTGGCATGTTGGTTGACCAGGGAACTGAACCTGTGGTCTTCCACATGGATCCGGCTTTGCTAGAACAGCACGTTATAGCAAACCTGAGCCATCCCTGTTCTCCCTCTCACCTCTTCCAGGAAGCCTCCTCTGATCTTGGGGCTTCCAGGCCCCCTGTCCTCCTGGTCCTGAAACTGCTTTCGTACCTGTGTTCCCAGGATAGAGGGGACACTGTGGAGGACACTCTTGCCCAGTGAACAAACGAGCTTTTCTTAGAGGAACTCTCTGAGCCTACCAGGATGTCTTGTCTTCCTTTACTCTGCCCGGTTTCCCATGCCACTTCTTCAAGGCCAGTGAGTGTTTGAATAAATGGAGGCGGAAACCATGACTTGATCGCTTCTGTCTATGCTATGGGGAACTTGGGGGTTTGTTCAAACCCGTCATGCCCGTATCTTTGGCCAGGATCCACCGGGAAGAGAGGTCTCTGCACCTGGGCTCTCTAAGCACATGGCAGGGAGTGGGAGCAGGTGACTGTGGACACCTGCTGTGTCAGGACCTGTGTTTATGTTACTATAAATAGATTGAGCTGTGCCCTGGGGCCCATGGCTGGGTGGGCAGCTTGTACACAGGGACAGGCTGGCCTCTTCCTGTCAGGACAGAGGAAAGGAGACCTTTGGAAGTGGCCTTGTTCGGCAGGCCAGGGCCTGGTTATCCTGGACCAGGGACTTCTCTCTTGCACCATGAAGGGTAAGCTGCCCATAGGGGGAGTTGGATAGCAGGGCTCCTGGGACCCCCTGGAGGTTGCATGTTTGGTTCCTCGAGGCCCAGTTCACATGCTTGAGTGCAGAGGGCTCAGTGCTGGCCTCTTGAGAGTGAGGGGCCTGAGGACACTCCTGCCCTGCTAATGCAGAAGAGCTGCTTGTCCCTGTCCCAGTCTGGAGGTGGCAGCTGAGGCTCCAGCTCAGTATCCCCACCCAGTGTCCCTGTTCCATAACCGATACCAGTCATATCAAACATGAGGCGCAACTCGGCGGGGCGGGGTGGGGTGGCCTTGCTCTCTCCGGACCAGAGTCTGACACTGCCCAGGATCACCGAGTGAATACATGAGGGAAAGAAAGGCTTCCTTTCAGCTGCCCCACGTCCCAGTCTGGCCAATGACCACAGGCTTCGTCTCAGCTGCCCCACGTCCCAGTCTGGCCAATGGGAGGTGCTCTAACGTGGAGGCTGCCTCTCACCCTAAGATGGAGACACTCTCTCCACCACTGGGCTGCTCTGAGGGTGAAACAGAAGACGCAACAAACACTGTCACAATAGCCCCTGCCTCGGCGCAGGGCACTCGTGGGGCTCCAGCTGACGTGAGGTGCTGGAGAACAGGTACCTGAGGTGTGGCTGCCTCCTGAGTGGGCAGTAATGGGTTCTGGCCTTGAGGGGAAACGCGGCCTGGTGGGTAGGAGGTGGCTGGGCCCTTCAGGAAACCAGCAGAGGTGGGCCGCGGCTCCTTCTGTCCCTGGGCTGTCAGGGAGGCTCACCCCTCCAGCCCACGGGACGGGCTGAGGACCCACATGGCAGACTTCTGCAGAGCCTGGCTGGGCACATTCTCCTCACGCTGGCCCTCCTCCAAGGTGTTGCGTGTGGGCAAGTACCCGACTGAGTAGGCTGGAGGCTGCCCCCACCCCAAGGAATAGGGGATCCCTAAAAAGTCAGAGGTACCCTGTTCTCAAGGCTCTGCTTCTAGTCCTGGCTGGCCGGGAAAGGGTCAGTTCCTAACTTGAAGGACCCAGTTTCCCGCATGGGAAGCAAACCTGGTAGTGGGTGCACGCAGGTGTCCCATGTTGATGGACAGGTGGTCAAAAAGGGGCAGCAGGGTAGCATCCCGCCCTGGATCACTCCCATCCTCTCCACCCTGAGGTCCCAGAAATAAAAACCAGCCAGGAGCAAGCAGAAGGCTATTATATATCATGCTTTTAATACAAACTTAAAAAAATCTGGAACAATATAAACTGTACAGATTTGATCAATCTTTTTGTTTTGTTTTTAAACTAAATCTCTAAACACACCAATGTCCCATTCCAAAATATTGCACAACATTCTGAATACAAAATGCTTGATTGTATTCCTCCTTCACTAAAGAAAAAAGTTCATAACCCTGCTCCCCCCGCTCCTTTTCACGTCTGCCTCAATGCCCCCCCTTCCCATCCCTGGGGAGAAAACTAGAGTCTACAGCTCACTGCATTGAGAAAAAGACATGTTCTGGATTAACAGTTTACATTCTTTACAAGATAATCCACCTTTTGATTTGCTCCTGGGAAAGAGGGATAGATACAGGATGGGGAAGGGGGGGGAGGTTTTATTTTCTTTTTTATTTTAAAGTTTGTTTTTCCTGAAAAAATATCTTTCTTTCCTCTTTTTAAGAAAAAATCTTGAAAAGAAAAAAATTACGTTTTTTTACGTTAGAAATATACATATATTATATATACCTCTTACACTTTACAAATGTAGCAAATTATTCAATACAAACGGACACCAAAAAATGTAAAAAATAAAAAAAAAAGTTTTCCTACGAAACCAGGTAAATTAGTGCAGATTTTTGCTTTGTTTTCTTAAAAAAAATAAAATTGAAGCAAAAATGCCTAGATTTGAGACGAGACAGACTGAACTGGGCAGAGCCCAGCACATATTTCAAAAGACACGAAAGGGCTGGTCTCTCCCTCTCCCTGTATGTGGTGAGAAACAAGCCGACCTGGACGTGGGTGGGTGGGCGCCTGCGTGGCGTGCGAGTGCGGGAGGAGGGCTAGAAGTGGGGTAAGGCAGCATCCAACTGTTCCCAGAGAGAAGCTACCTGCCTGGGCCCGTCACCAGTGTGGGAGCTGAGGCAGAGGGGAGGGTGGCCCAGATTGGGCTGGCCCCTGAGAAGTAGAGGGGGACAGATGGTGCTGGGCTGAGAAGCCAGGACGTTGACCCACTGGGGGAGGTAGAGCTGGTGCCCGCTGCAGGGATGAGGCTGGCAGTGTCTGGGCTGGACCCACTGCCACAGCAAGTGCCAATGTAGGATCCCTGGGGAGGATGGAGTGGGGTGCCGGGGGCTTTGGTGCTCAGCACCCCCCTTTAGAGCACTGTGGCATGGAAGTGGACCCTCTAGGGTTGGAGAAGCCACTTCTGGCAGAAGCAGGGGAGCGAGTGCTCTTTCCTAATCCAAACACAGATGTGGGGGCTGAGGGCCTGTCCAGCCTGACTGGACTGGAGACCACCCCTCACAGCATCCAGGTCCAGTAGGGTGGGGTCAGGGCAGTGAGGTGATGGCAAGAGGTACCAGGAGGCTCTCAACTGGGCAAGGGCGCAATGTGTTAAATTAGCATCTACAACCAAAGACCAGTCTCAGTTCACAGCTCAGGGCTGCCCACTGCCGGCACTGACTCCAACTCCGTCTCCCCACCCACCTGGACCGCCCACTGCCGGCACTGACTCCAGCTCCGTCTCTGCACCCACCTGCCCTGGGTGCTCAGGCGAGCAGCTCCCGTTCTGGGTTAAGGTCACAATAGGAGGGTGAAATCCAAAGACCTCTCTTAGGCAGTACTGGCTTGGGTACTCCCTCTGCCCTTCTGAGCTTTTTTCTTTTTGGTCAAAACCAAACAAAAGTGCAGGTGCCCTTGCAGTCTGGAACCTGTTCCTTCTGCACTGCCTTCCCCTGGAAAGGTCTTAGGCTCAGCCGCAGTGTCACCCACCATGTGCTCTGCTCTGAAAAGGACCGAGACTGAGACCCTGCCTGCCCACACATAAATAAGCACTTGCAGCCACCAGAGACACCCAGGGGAAGCTCCACATGGCTTGGAACCCTTCAAAACAGGACAGCAAACCACACGCACACACACTCCACCTCCCCATCCACAACCTTGGGGCCCAGGGTACAAGGGGCTGCACGAGAAAAAGAGGCCACGTTATCAACTATCAACAGTATCAGGGCTGGGTCTCTGAGGTGAGGCTGGGAGGGAATGGTGGCGGGCAGGGCCACAGGCAGAGATGAAAGGAACTGAGCTAGACAAAGTGCTAATCTCCCTGGAGTCACAGACATAAGCTCTAGCGGTGGGGTGTCAAGCAGCAGGCCTGAGGGGTGGGGCTGGGGTCAGACCTATTGGGTGGCAGAGCCTGAGAAGGCCTGCTGAGGTTGGATGGCTTTGAGTAAGAGGGTGGTTGGGTGACGAGGCAGTGACACAGGCCAGCCTCTCCCTCTTGCAGAGAGAGGCAGGCCCCAGTTGCGGCTCTTCCTTCCCTGTGAGCTCGGACACACTAATCCTAGACAGGGTGTGTGAAGGAGGGAGGCGGGGAGCAGCAGTTCACATCTGGACCGTTCTTAGCACAGGAAGCCACTAATTAAAGATGTTATATAGAAAACTACATGTAAAAAAAAAGAAAAAAGAAAAAAATATAAAACCCAAACCAATCAAATAAATCAGAGGCAGGCAGGAAAATAGCAGGGGCTTGGGCTAAACACCACTAGGTGCTTCGGGAGCCCCCTTCCACTCCATGCCTGGGCTGGATCTTTTCTCTACAAGTGAGAGTGAGAAGATTGGAAATCTTTTTGTGTATTTTTCTTTTCCTCTTTTTTTGGCCTTTCCTTTGCTTTCTCTTTTCTGTGGTCTTGAGTGCCCCTGGCCCCGTGGGTGGGTGGATGGTCAGTTGGCCAGCACGACAGGCTGGAAGGGCTGGCTGGGATACTGCATGGTGTTCAAATTGTAGCTGAGGCCTTCCACGAAGGGTGTCTTCTCCAGAAAGAGGCTGTTGGTGCCACCTCCGAATACCTGGGCCACATCAAAGCTGTTGCTGGTGCAGGTGCCAGCACCACTGCCCCCAAAGGGGGCTGGGGTGCCACTGCCCTGGCCATCAGCCCCATCAAAAAAGAGGCTGGGTGAGCCACTGCCACTGTACACGAACTCCTTGGCATTGGGCGAGAGCTGGGACTGGGGCGCCGGGCTGGCCGTGATGAAGTTCAATGAATGCATAGATAAAGAGAGGCCCTTGTGCTTCAGCAGGCTGCTGGTGGGCGAGCGGGCCACGCGAGGCTGCTGCTGTGCTGGCTGTTGGCCACTTGCCCCCCCACTGGCCCCGCCACCCTTCTTCATCTTGGTGGAGCCAAATTTGGTGGCAGCAAAAGAGGCGGTGGTGAAGGTGATAGGCTGGGCGGAGCGGGGGATGAAGGTAGGGCTAGGTGACTGGCCGAAGGACGGTGATGGGGAGCTGGCCAGGGAGCTGTCCCGACTGCCGATGGGCACGAACACCTGGGCATCAGGGTTGAAGCTGCTCTTGATCTCCTTGTCTAGCTCCGGGGCACCACAGCCCTCGCTGCCATCCAGGTACAGGACTTTCACAGCTCCCTTCTCCCCGATCTGGTAGGACACCTCGAAAGGGTCAATCCAGACACTCAGTTCCTCAGGCACGTTGGCCCTCACGTCCTCCACTGCCAGGCCACTCCGCTTGGCAGCCAGCTCCACCACCGGGTCTACCATCTCCCCAATGTGGACACAGCGGAAGCCAGAGCCCTTCAGTGGCTTTTCGGGGTACCAGTGGCCTTCATATTTCTGTTTCAAAAGCCTCTCTAGCTCTTCTCCAAACAGGTCTGCCCGGCGCCGGGGCAGCTTGTTGTACAAGTAGGAGATGATAAAGTTCAAAGCCACCTTGATCTCCAGCTGCATGGTCCTTTCCTTGGCAGAGAATCAGCGCAGGGCACGGGCACAGGCCAAGGGCAGTGGTGGGGGCTATGATGTGGGCAGCTGTGGGTTCCAGATGGCTCTGGGAACAAAAAAAGGAAAGGGGCACCATGAGTAGATATGCAGAAGCCGGTGGTGACCATGTGGACAAGTACAGACAGAAAAGCACCATTTGGACCACAGAGACACAGAGGCCCATCTCTGCTCCACCAGTGCTAGGGCAAGTCACTGAACTTCAGTCAGTGTCTTCCTTAGTAATAAGAGATTATTGAATAAAATACATAAAGTTAAATAAATATTTTTTTTTAAAAAAAGAAGGGGGCTGGCAGGTGGCGTGGTGGTTAAGGGCACTGGACTCCCACATGGGTGACCGCAGTTCAAGTCTCGGACTTGGTGGCTTGCTGGCTTGCTTTCTCACTTTCTTTCTCACTCTCTCTCTCAATCTGTCTGTCTCTTTCTGGTCAAATTAAAATAAATAAGCAAATAAAATAAATAAAGTTGAATAAAATAATTCTTAAGAAAAAAAAGAGAGACAGATTACCAAGGCGTGAGTGCAAGGATAAAATGCTTCATGCTATAGGTGGCAATCAGTAAGGTCTTTTTTTTTTTTTTTTAAGAGAGATTTTTGCTATAGGGTGTATGCACTTGCTGGAGAGACACAGAGAGAAAGCAAGAAATCAACCCTCCCCCTGGGGGGGGAATGGCCATGCTGCAACCCCTTCTCCTCTATTCTCCTCTTGGGATGTTGGGCATGCACGTCCACTCGCCTGGCATAATTTTTAAACCACCGGGTACAAGACTTAAACTGTGATCAGCCATGTGGGAGTATAATGCCTTAACCACTATGTTACCTGCCGGCCCTAATCACTGTACATCTTTATAGTGTATAAAATGGTTTTTCCCAGTGTAAACATAATACATATTAGTCAAGTCATGGATATTACCATGTGCATTATCATCAATAGATAACTTTTCATTTTTTAAAAAGATTTTATTTAACTTTTATTTATTTTAATTTGACCAGAGGAAAGAGCGAGAGTGAGAGAGAAAGAGAGGGGGAAAGTGAGAAAGCAAATTGCCAGGTCCAGGACTCAAACCATAGTCACCCATGTGGGAGTCCAGCACCCCTAACCATCATGCCACCCGCTGGCTCCAATAACTTTTCATTTTTGTTTCTCTAGTTTTTTTCCCCAACCCCCTTCCTTCCCACTCTCTAGAGTTAGCAATTATTTTAAAGTAATTCTAAAGAATCAGGGGTGCTGTGGTTTCCACCATCTTGAGAATTCAGGTCACTATGAATGACACCAAACCAACCGTGTCTCTAATTCAGTTGGAGGTTGGCGAACTCCTAATTCTAATTAGGAGAGTTCCTGATTCATTGCTGTCTCCCAATGTCTTGGTGAAGTCATGTCCCCAAACTCACAGGCCAAGATGTAGGTTTAAAATCCTTAGCTGTCGGGGCCAGCAGATGGCATGGTGGTTAAGGCCTTGGACTCCCACATGGCAGACTGTGGTGTGAGTCCTGGACCTGGCGGCTTGCTTTCTTACTTTCCCTTTCTATCCTTTGCTGGTCAAACAAAACAAAACAAAAATAATAAATGACTTTAAATAATTCTTTTAGAAAATAAAATCCTTAGCTGTCCTCCTTAGACAGATACAGGTCACTGAGTAGGAAGGAATGCTGCCAACTGCTCCTGGGGGAATGGGCTCCAGTCACACCCATCTGTTGCCCTGGCCCCGTGGATGTACATGTTTTTCACTGGGTTTGAGGACTGATTTAAAAACTCCACATTGTGGGGGCCGGCAGGTGGCATGGTGATTAGGGCGCTGGACTCCCACATGGCCAACCATAGTTTGAGTGCCAGACCAGGCAGCTTGCTTTCTCACTTTTTCTCTCTGTCTCCCTCTGGTCAAATTAAAAAAAAAAAAAAAAAGTAATACAATTAAAAAGTAAGTAATTTTTGAAAAAATAAAAAAGAACTCCACATTGTGAGCAAGGCTTGCACTTTACCCAGAGAGCCTATAAGAAAGCAGTCGAAAGCACAGTCCCAAGGAAAAAGGTAAGACTGTCACAACCACGGATATGGGCCATCAAGGGGACCACTGACCGGGAACTCCAGGGGAACAGCGGAAAGGAGAGGGAAGCAGGCCCCATGAGGGGCCCTTCTGATGAGGGTACCGGTGAGGGAGTGGCAGAGGCAAGAAAATTTTCCATCATTCTGCCCATCATCACTCAAGTCTCCCAGGGACTGTCTGACCACCTGTCCTTGACACTGAATCAGACTTATCAAGCATTTGGAGATCCCTGGAGAGAAGGCAGCTCAAGATAAACAGATTGTTATTTTGGGATTCTCTCACAGCCAGATCCCACTGAGGTCAAAAGGCTTATTCCCTAGGCATAGGTCAGTCTCATGGTGCAGGAAGCTGATCTGTGTGGTCCTGAGAGCCAGAGATCCTAATCTCACTATCTCCAAAAGAGCAGCTCCCAGACTGATGCTGGGGGAGACACTCAACTTTTCAGCTCTGAGGGAGGGTGAGCCAGACCTCCGCTGCTGGGCTCAGCAGAGATACGATTGAGTCCTGATCAATCAGGGGCATCTTCTGTCCTGAGCAAGACTCAGGGCTAGATTTTGATTAAAATCCCTCGGGGTCCAGCATGAAATGTACAGATACTAATTGTAGGCTTGACCTACAGAGTTTTCTGAACACCTGTTTCAACACATTTCCCTGTAATTCTGAGCCCTCGGTCCAAGGCTCCTAGGAGCACTTTTATGATTGCATCCTTGGGACCAGAAGATGGTGTGATGGTTATGTTGCTGGACTCCCACGTTGTCAACTGTGGCAACTGTGGTTTGAATCCTGGACCTGGCAGCTGCGTGTAAGTGTGCCCAAAATCCTAACAGAAGGAGGGACTGCAGCATGGCCATTCCCCCTGGGGTTGGTGATTTCTCGCTTTCTGCCTCTCACTCTCTCTGGCGAGTGCAAAAATTTCTGTCTTAAAAATGGGAAAAAAAAAAAAAGGATTGTATCCTCAAGAAAAGGTTTCTGGGGCAAATGTACAATAAAAGATGTACCAAGTCAACCTGGAGCAGCACACAACAGTGGCTAGATTTAACCTAACCCTCACTTCTGGTCTGAGGGACAGGGAAGGTCAAATGGGGAATCAGTAGAGGAGTTACAACTAAGCCCCTCTCCTACCCTCCACAGAACACTCTGGATTCAGGAAACCCTGGCTCCCTCTCATCTCAGCTTCCAACATAGACATAACCTCCATGTTTCTTCAAATGTCTACTCATGATGAACAGAGATCAATTCTAACGTTCTTTTGGGTTTAAAGAGAATAGGCTGGCTGAGGCTGGGGGGTGGGTTATGGCACAAAGACCCTGTTCGGGGTATCAGTCTCTCTCAAGGAAGAAATAAAGTTAAAAAAAGAATAAGGGGCTTTCTCTTTATTGCGTTTATCACCAGATATAAAAAGCTATCTACTGGGACTGTGGGCTTCCACTCAAGAAGGTAGGTGTTTTTGTTTGTTTTTAAAAGAATTATTTTAGGGGCCAGCAGGTAGCATGTGGTTAAGGGTGCTGAACTCCCACATGGCCAACTTTGTTTCTAGTCCTGGACCAGGCGGCTGGCTTCCTCACTTTCCCTCTCTCTGGTGGGTGCATTCTTTCCCTCTCTGGTCAAATTAAAAAGAAAAAAGTAAGTAAAAAAAAAAGTTAAATAAAAATAAAAACAAATACTCTTATAAAATTTATTTTATTTAACTTTGTTCATCATCATCATCATTATTTTAATTTGACCAGAGAGAAAGAAAGAGAGAGAGAGAGAGAGAGAAAGAGAGAGAGAATGTGAGACGGCAAGCTACCAGGTCCAGGACTGGAACCATGGTCAATCATTTGAGAGTCTAGTGCACTTAACGACCATACCACCTGCTGGCCTCAAGAAGGTAGGTTTGAAAGAGCCACTGTGGGCTACTAGATGTGTCACATGAAAGACACTAAAAAGTTATGAAGAAAGTTGGCACCATTTCTTGGGCCAACCTGTGGCATGATGGTTAAGGCAGCTGTGTCTTACATGGTCAACTGTATGGTTCAAGTCCCAGATGTGGCATCTTGAAAAACATGCCAGACACATGTGTGTGCGGGTGCCCAATTCTTAGAGGAGAACGGAGAAAGGGCTGTGGCATGGCCACTTTCCCTCTTTGTCTCTCTCTGTCTACCTGACAAATGCACATGCACTATTGCAAAAAAAAAAAAAAAAAAGAAGAAGAAAAAACTGGTATCACTACCTAAGAATGGGCCTGGTGATAAAGACAGTGTTGATAGAGGGGCAGAGGCTGAGAAATAGGAAGGAATGCTGCCAACTTCTTTTTTATAATTATTTTATAATTATTCATTTAAAAAATTCCATTTGTTATCATTTTTTTTTTTTCCTAGTGTGACTAGAGAGAGAGAGAAAGGGAAAGTGAGAAAGTAAGCCACCAGGTCTGGGACTCAAACCATGGTTGGCCATGTGGGAGTCTAGCGCCATTAACCACCATGCTACCTGGCGGCCCCAAAATGGATATTTTTTTAAATAATTATTTTAACTTTATTTATTTATTTATTATTTTCCAATTTGATCAGAAAGAGACAGAGAGAGGGAGGGAAGTGAGAAAGGAAGTCATCAGGGTCCAGAACGTGAACCATAGTTGGCCTTGTGGGAATCCAGTGCCTTTAACCACCATAACACCTGCTGGCCCAGAGAAATAGGTAGTTTTGACAAGGTCTCACCATACTAAGACCCTCCTGCCCAGCTTTCCTGATAGGATTACAGTGCTATGTACCACCACTGTACCTAGCATTTTAAACCCAGTCCAGGATCTCAGGATCCAAACTTGGTCCTTCTTCCATGTGGCTCCAGCATCATACAGCAGTATCCCATCGCTTGCTCCATTGAAGATTGGCCTCAAAGTGTTTTTTGAAAAGTAAAACAGACTAAATCAACATATGACACTTCTCTCAAGTTACAAAAAAAAAAAAAAAAATGGCCTCTTAATACATGCCTTTGGTGGGACCAGCATCATGGTGTAGTGATTTCATC